GCAGGTCTGTGAAGCCCGAAAGCGCCGATTTAAGGTCACAGACAGACGAACAGTCTGAGCAGGTTTGGAAGCAGAAGCTGTGCTCGCCATGTTTAATGTGTCTCTCATTAAAAGCTATAAAGCGCGGAAACAACTGAACCCCCCCAGACTAAAAGATTCTGTTTTAATTTGGGTACGCATGGAACACACACTCACCAGCCACTTCATTAGGTACGCCTGTTCCAGCTGCTCGCATACACACGTGTAACCGCTGGTTCGCATCAAGATATGCAGTAAAGCATCTGTGGATGCACAGCACGTCAACGGTTAAAGATCACAGCGAGCGTCGCTGCTGAGGTCCAGCCGAGCTGGTTTCCTGAACTTGCCTGAAGGATGTTGGCTGCAGTCTCAAAGCAGAGCCATGATGAATGAACCCAACCCAGTATTAGATCCTGATACAGTGAATGTGTGAAATCAAATGTAAGAGAAAATAAATTAACTGATGGAGCTGAAATATGACTGTGTGAGTAGAATGCTTATTTAATGAGCATGCAGACTGAAGCCTGTGCTCATGGTTTGAAGCATGCATGCAGTGGCTTCTTCTGTCTGTCTGAAGGAAATTAAAATCCGTTTGTGCAGCTGTGCCAGTTTTTAATAATGTTCGAAGTCACGCACTACAGATCTGAGCAAGGCTTTTACAGTAGTTGGTGTATTTGGCTCCCCCTGGTGGGCTCGAGGATCAGCGCACAGACACATTCCAGGCTCGATTCATCTTTGGGAATACGGAATAATTCTTTCATCCTACGGCCCGCGGCCGAAGCAGCGTGAGACGGCTCAGGTGTCAGCAGGAAGGAGTCTGTGCTGAAGGCGTCTCAGAGCCTGCAGTGGCTTCTGTCAGCGGACAGACGGGCACCGGTCCTGCTCTGACACCAGCAGCCGGCACACAAGCTAAAAGGTTTGTTTTGTTACAGCCACTATGTTTCATCATCACCTGCCAAAGAAGATGGAGGCGTCCCATCTGCACCAACGCTGCGGCTTTTATCTCCATCAGAGCTTCACTGGGCTGAGTTACAGTCTCACATCAAACTGCCAGATCGATTTGAACACAATACTTAACTTTCTGGGTTTGTCAGGGTCCACGCTTTTATTTTTCACAGCCTGGAGGTGAGGAAGAGGTGCAGGAGGAAAATCGTACAGGTCTGCATCATGTATGAGAGCAGAAACTGAGCTGAGGCAGAAGGTTAGTCTTGATTCCACTTGTCTCATTTATCATTTAAATAAAAAGTAATACTTCTGTAACATTAGGGAACTTTCTCCTGTTCACCAAAATCACCACACAGGCCTGCTGTTCTTCTTGAATGTAATATCGATAACCTTGGACTAATGCTAAATGTTAATAAATAATAAAACAAACAACCTACGTCAGTTAGGTCTCTCAGTATTTTGTAGCATTTCTTTGCACTTTTGCCTTTTTACTGCGCAGTCCCGGATCACGAGCGCTCCTCTACAGCTGACGGTCTTCAGTTCTCCCTGCAGACGTGTCTTTGTGCCGGCCAGTAACTCTTCTGGAGGTCGGTCTACATCAGGAGTGACACATGTTCGAGGTCTTTGTCACGTTGGAAGACAAAGCCACGACCCAGACACAGTTTTGCTGCAGAGTGTTTTCTCCATGATTCTTTCTCCTTGACGAGATTCCCAGTTCCAGATGCACAGGACTCCCACTGCCGAGTTTCACTGTGGGGTTTTCTTTGGACTCCTTCCTTCTTTGTCGAGACATAAGCACCGTCTCTAGTTTCCTCTCATCTGACCTGAGCTTGTGCTTTAAGTCTACTTGATCTTTCTCCAGGCTTCTTTCTGTTTCTCGAGTCGAAACTGGTTTCTTTCGTTTTTGGCGTGACGGCTCAAAGCCTCGCTGAGTCTAAACTGGGAGATGACCCTCGGTTTAGACTTGATTTTGCAGCTTTGAGCGATTCTGTGATTGAGTGCAAAGATCAAAAGTCTGGAGTGAAGTTTTTCACCTACATGTTAGGCGCGTGCGGCGAGGCGTCTGCGGCGCGTGCGGCGAGGCGTCTGCGGCGCGTGCGGCGAGGCTCAGTGTAGCGAGACCACGCGGTCGTCTTCTGTCAGCTGGGACATGTTTAATAGCATAATTGTAAAGAGCTGGTTCTACACGGCTGAGTCGGCGCTGCAGATAAATATATATTTTTGCAGGTGGTTCTCCAGGGCGGGTATAAAGGTCTATTCCCAGTTTACTGTTCTTCAATTTATTTTCCTCACACCTTAATAGCAGAAGAGGAATTGTGCTCATAAATGTTTAAAGGCTCTGCTTTTTTATAGCACGGAGCTGTGGGATTGTCAACATTTGTACTTTGAGGTGTGTTAAATTAATCACATCATTACCTCCACAGGAGGGGAAAAAGCTGATGGAGTAATGGTGCCGTGCACTCCTCAGCCAGGCCTGCAGTGGAACAACGAAGGCAGAAAATCACCCAGACTGGGGAAAAAGAGAAACCATGCAAAGTCTAAATTTTAACGATGTGAGCTCTGAATATAAACAATAATATAATTTGTGTATATCTCATCTTTGCCTTTATTTTAGAAAACTGTCTCATGTATCAGTTTTCTCGGATGAATAGAGAATAAAGAGAAGGATTAAAAAGTGTGAGCACAGACGGTGGTTTGCAAACCTCAGTGAGAAGCGGCCCAGAGAGCTCACTGACATTTTATTGCCACCTCCATAAACGTGGTCTGCAAAAGTCCCCGTCGTGCACTTTCCATCCACTCATTCATTTTCTATACACAATTTTGCAAGAGGCACAGTGCCCATTACACTGCAATAAGAGCTGCACTGCCTCTGCTTTGGCTCGTTCGACTAGACGAGCTTAAGGTCGGCTGCAACATCCGCTTTAACAGGACTGAGTCTCAGCATCACACCTGGATTTTATCTTCACAGCATGAGCCATGCATCTTTAAAAAAAAATCATCATCTCTGTTCTAACAATATGTAGGAAGACATGGCGGTGCTGCTCCTGTGTCTCAGAATAAAATTTTTCTTCTACGACAGGACAGGAGAACTCACATTTTGAGTTTCTGTAAAAGGCAAAACATGTCTGGGACGCTCTCTTTATTCTTACTTTGGCTAATATTTAGCCAGAGGTCAGGGTTCACTGACAGCAGGTGGTTTTATTGTCATGGAACTGCTGACCTGGCATGTCTGAGCTACAACACTTGTTCTTAATATTATGTCTCAGTGGACGTTTCTGTGAATCACAGACTGGAGGACCAACAGTGAAGGGGATGAGCCGACTGGACTCTGTGAGGAACCTCAGGTCCTTCCGTTTGTGCTGGAGAACTTCTGTCCGTCTGTAGCAGCATCAGCAAACTAGTCCACCAAGCTGGGACCTCATTGGTCAGAATCTGGAGGTGTTTGAGTCAGTGAGGGGCCGCAGTTCACTAAACACACCGTCCTCCATCATGGACAATCACAACTAGTGCTGTGCGGATCAATACTGAAATATCGATTCCTCCGATACCAATCATTTATGTTCTAGAATCGATTCTCACATTAAAATATCGATATTTTAGTAATTTAGGGTAAATTTGTAGTTTATCATTAACAGGAACACGGTGGAAAGAAACTATATCATTCGGATTGTCAACATTGGAAGGAACTACTTCCTCTTCTGCCTTTCATAGTCATGTGCAAAATACGGCTGTATAACTGTGTCCAGCCCCTGGCGTGCGCACTCGAAACAATGGCTGAGTGTAATTGGAGTTACGTGCAGACGTATTTTACCTCCACAAACAGCCGAGCTGTGGTTTGCAATACATGTGGCAAGACCACTAACCTCGTGAGATACCTCACAGGAAATCAGATCACAGAATATGACGAGCGTATGTTGAGGCAAACTGAAGAGGAGGAGAGGGACAGGTGCTGCTAGGGCGAGACAGACGTCTCTCGTGGAGTCCTTTAGTGCTGCAGGCAGGCAGCGTGCTCAAATAGCCACAACTTCAGGTTTTTTATTTCTATATGATGAATTCTGCATTATTAAGTGATAAGAGCAAGTAATATGATGTCCTGTAATCATGATGATGCTATAATGTGAGATACAATAAAAGATACAATAAATAAAGTTTTTGTACAAAGTATCAGTATCGTCGATACCACCCTGAATTTTACTTGGTATCGGATCGGAAAGGAAATCAGTGGTATCGCACATCACTAATCACAACTGCTCCGGTCCGGTCAGCAGAGCTCCTCCTCCCTGAGAATTATCCAATCACGCTGCGAGAAAGAGCGGTTCAGGAAGTCCTTCCCACCGTGCTCGGAAACCTCTCCTCTTTGTAACAGGTGAACACACCTGTCAGGACACAAGACTCCACACAAGCCTGTTTCTCATATTTAAAGTGTTAAAGCTATAGAGCTATTTATTTGAGTTTTGCTCTAATATTCACAAGAATTTGCTTTTCCACAATCCGTCTTATTTTTATTTATTTTTTCATGTTAAAAATGATTTTCACATTGGTTTATGTAACATTTCGCACTACCTCACATCCGTCAGTATGAAGTACTTGTTGTTTTCATTGTAGGTCATAATATTGATAATCTTATTCTTGAAGCTGCTGCTGGAGCACCGTCACTGTGCACAACCATCGCAGGGTTCGTGTGCTAGCTGTGGGGTTTCCCTTACAATACAAAGCTCCGTAAGGCTCGTGCTGTTGTGATTTGGTGGCGTATAAATTGAGCTGAATTCAGAGTATTGTTTATTTTCCCTGCGGTGTCACGTCACAGAAACCTGGTCGTCTTTAAAAGTTCCTACAACATGTTTTGAGTATTAACTCCGAGGATTCATAGACAGTAACTGTGCTAGTTATACACCACTCTGTTACACTGAACTGTTTTTGTTATTTATTTTAAATTATTAATTAATAATTCATAATTATTATTAGTATTTTTTTTTTATTAGTAGTAATCCTGTCCGGTTAGAAATCCAAGTAAACGTTGGCAGTCAGGCGGGGCGCTGATTACGTCACATCCTGCCGTTTGCAGCTTGTACTTCCGGAAGGTGGGGCTTTTGTTGCGGGAGCGGTTTGTATATGTAGACCAATGCCTCTGTGTTCGCTGTTAACGCGCTCAGCAAGATAGCGGCAGCCTCGGGCAGACAAGCGGATCGTGCTTCGGTAAGGCTCCGGGCAGCCCCGGTCAAGCGGAACACCGTGAGTCTGTAACCGGGGCTTTGGGGAGGTTGACGGTACCGCACCTGCTGTAAGGACGGGCGAGCACCCCGCGGGTCCAAAGGCTGTCCCCTCAGCACCCACGGCTGTGAGGACACCGGGACACACACTGGTGACTGATTAGCTGTCTCTGTGGAAGCTAACGTCAGGCACGAGCTGTTTGTTTGGCCGGTCGTTAGCTTAGCTTCCAGTGACGGTGTAGCCTCGGTAACACGGACATTAGCACCAGCCTGTCTTCTCCACGGCTGTGCTGTGGCACTACAGCGGCTTTACCGCTCCTGTTTGCTCTGTTGTTGTGTAAAGTTACCGTTTAGAGACGGACTGGGTAAAGTTAGCGGTTCTACTTTGTTTGGCGGTAGTTGCTGAAAAGTTTTTACCTCTGGGGAGATGAGCGGACACACCCAGTGAGCCAGGTCCGGCTCATGTTCCTGTAACTCAGCTGATGTCAGCGAAAAGGACAGTTTGGTGTGCTAACACTGAGATCATGCTGGTGCTGTCACACCTGTCCTCTGTCTGTATGTGACGGAGAAAATCATACATGGAGTTTCTCCTGTTGTATGGAGGGACACCTCTGTCAGCCCCCTGACTTTGGAGGCCCTGTAATGGTCACTTTAACCCTCCGGTGAAGTGCAGAAATGTGAGGAGGAAGGCAGCTAGGTGAGTGCTCCGTGTTTACATGTATACAGTACTGTTGAGGTGCTGGTGGAGGGACGATGCTGGCAAAGCAGCAGCACTTTTCCTTCTCTTTGACAGCTGTGGGTCTGTGTGAGGGGAAAGTGACCGTGTGTGGTTCATCACACAGACTCGTGTCATTCTGGGCTGACTAACACCTCATTTAAAGCAGCAGTGACATCCTGTAAGCTCACAGTCTCGTGATCTTCTGAAACCCTGGTAAACAGCTCCCGAGCACCGCGCTGATCCAAGCACAATAACAGCTCTTCCAGGAAAAGCAGGTCATCAGTTTTGTGGGAATTCCCGTGGTTTCTAAAAGCTGGTGGGCCATTTTTATTTGTTTTGGGGGAAATTGTATTTAAAGGGCCCATATCCATTTTTATAGTGTTATGAGATGTTTATGGAGAAAGTTACCCCCCAGCCCCACAGGCCTCTTCCAAGGTTTATGGTTATGATGAAAGAACTGACCTCCCAGCCCATTGTTCCTCAGTGGGCTGGTTTCAGTCATTATGCAAATGTACTGATGATAAGATTATAAACCTGCAGCTGAGACTGAAGAAGTCAGCTGGATGATGATGAAACGTTTCTCCCACAAAACGCTACGTCCAGATGAACAGAATCGACCTTTGGAGACTCCTCCAAGGTTCCCTTCTTCCTACGTGGACAGTGGGTACTCATGTTGAGCTAACATCCACCCACGGGCGCTGCTTCTCACTTCTTCTTGGGTCAGAGCTAAGTGGAGTTTGACAGCATGCTACAAAAAATCACTATGACTGAAACTTTATTAAAAGTTTTGTTTTATCTCCAGTAATTACAGTAATCCAGTAATGGCAGGGATAGCTCAGTAGGTAGAGTGGTGGCCCCATGATCGGAAGGTCGGGGGTTCGATTCCCCTGAACAGCTACCCTGAGGTACCCCTGAGCAAGGTACCGTCCCTACACACTGCTCCCCGGGCGCCCAATGGCTGCCCACTGCTTCACTGAGTGAATGGGTTAAATGCAGAGAGCGATTTTCCCCACGGGGACCAATAAAGTACTCTTTCTTCTTCTTCTTCTTCTTCTTAATTTTATGTTCCAGAAAATGGTACAAATATCAGAAGAGTTATGTGACGGGGCTTTGTCTAGTTCTGTCTGACTTAATTAGAAGTAGAAACTCGGCCTGGACGAGCACTCGGTGTACTTCTCTAGAAGACGCCCACCGACAGGTTCTGATGTCCAGATATTTACACACAGTAGTTGTAACTGATATGTGTAACACATCAAATATGGAAAGCATTACATCCTGTTTCCTTAAAGGAAGAGGAACTGCTTATGCAAATAAGTGTTTGTGGAACACAATGGTAGCCCAGAGTCGGGCCGGGGTCTTTCACTCGTTCAGGCCTCGGTGGAGACCTCAGGATGTTTTACGTCCTTCAGGTTGTAACTGTATCTGCTTTAATAACCGGTAGTTTTTTGAAGGGGAAGCACAAACACGGACATCATTTGGTTAGCAAAGCAATAAACCATCATATTGGTTATTACTTTACAGCTGCGTCCTGGCTTCTGTATCGATGCCTTGTTACAGAGTAAAGTAGGGGAAAGTGTAACTGTCACGGTCGGGACGAGCAACATCTTTAAACTGAGTATTTGTTGTTCATTTCTTTTTTAGAGCACCCGTCGCTCTCTCTGCTCGACAGATGCAAAGCCTGGGAGATCAGGTTTCACACAGTTGTCCAGTCGCCTCGCTGTCTCATTAAACCCACGTCTGTGTTTAAGCTGTAGCTGCAGGCCGCAGCACCATGTCTCGCTCCAGCGTGGAAGTATTACAAGGCAGATTGAGGTTGACCACCTCGCCTTCTCCGATGGTACAGACGGTGAGAGCAGTGAAGTTTACCGCCACCGCCGGCTCCGTGAAGACAGATGGAGCGGAAATGTGAGGTGGTGCTGTTATTTCTTCCAAGGGCGGCACTGCAGGCCGCTGCGCTGGTGTAGGTGGTATGTACCGGGGCCCGTTGTGGTTATTTGTCAGGAAAATGAAAAGATATGTTTACATTGCAATGAGAGATAAGTAGTGGGCAGCTGGGAGTTGCTCAGCAGGAACAAATACATTTGTGATGAAATGTGTGCTGGGAAGTGGACTCATCGGTCTCTCCGTGGTGAATCAGTCCAGTGGAATGCTCCGGGAATGGGAACGACTCGAGTGTCTGGATAAGATCATCAGGGTCAGCTGCAGCATGGGGAGCAACGATATCTGCTTTGTGTTAAAGGCGTGTTGCTGATCCACTGCAGGGATCAGTGAAGACTTCGTTTACGTTTGTTTGAAAGGTCCCGCTCGCTGCGGCCGGAGGGCGAGGACTGTTACAGACGATCCGGGTCCCTGCTGCCCAGTTTGGTCAAAGGCTTCTCTGTACACTCTCCTGGCTGAGGGTCGTTAGTATGCACAGTGGGGAGCTCGCTTTTTGAAGATGTCTCTCGTGCTGCTGCGTGCTGTCTTTGAAAGTAGGAAAAATCATTTCCTGATGCCCAGATGTTTGGTAAATAACCCCGCAGGTCTTTATTTTTGTGTGTGACCTGCTCGTACTCTTACCTCCATCGTATTGTTTTATCACAGCGAGCTCCAGTTATGGTTATAGTGGGAACTGTGTGCTCCCTCACTTCTGCTGGAAAAGAAGGAAGTGTTGAGAGGACAGAAGCACTAAAGTGAAAGCTGTTTAGCATGCGCGACGTATCGGTGGGCCACATAAGTGTTGTGATTGACTCAGTGGATCGGTATCGAGATGAGAAAACTAACTGATCTCCTTTGGAAATCCTTGGAATTTGGAGGTTTGTTATTTAGGGAATCACTGTTTTCTTCATCAGACGGGGAGAGGAAATCCCCCCACCCCTGGGATCAGACGAATGTGGAAAGACGGAGCATCCTCGGGCTCTTTACAAGTCTGGCTCAGATGTCTCGGCTTTACTCGGCACATAAATCCAGTTTGGGGTGCTTCACACTTTCTGTTTGCTGTAATCTTTTGTTAGGATCTGCGAGAGTCTCTGCAAACCTCCGTACGTCTTTGCCAGAGTGTGAGGATGAGTGCAGAGGGAACATCGGGCCGTTCTCCAAAGGGAATCTTAATGAATTCTTGCGCTGGTGTCATCTATATTTCAGGAGCCTTAGAAACCAGAGCGGCCTTGTAGGCTCCCCCCATAACCCCACCGCCCCGAAGAAGGACCAGCACCGCGCACACTCAGCTCCTGGATGTGGGTCATGCTTAAATATGAATTTTTCATATCTTTTGCAACTGTCCCCTGATTTTGACCCTGCATTCAAAGTCGCAGCGCAGCTGGTGGAAATGTGACACGACCCCACCCTCGCTGTGTGAACTTCCCTCGGAAACTTTCCACTAAGCACACGTGATGCGCATGTTTCACACTGCCTGAGTTTATTGGCTCTGACTGCTTTGTTTATGATGGAGTCTGTGTCTGCGCTGGCGTACGGAGAAGTGGGTCGCAGTAAATAATTTACACGGTGACCCCTCCTCTGTGTCAGCTGCCTTCCTGATGGGTGTTTGGGTATGTGTAGGCTTGTGTGGGTATCCTGGCCTGTGACTGATAACAAAGACAGGAAGAGCACAGATCAGATTTCACTTCCTGCTAGGATATAGGAAGACCACGATGCCTCATCGCCGGCATCAGCAGCTATCGTACGACGGCTGACGCAGCAAGACGAGTTCTGCTGTCAGACGATGTAAAGAAACTGACGTTCACACACAGGTTGTTGCTGTTTGATTTCCCTCCAGGTGTTTGTAGCTTCTGCAGAGCTCTTCTATTACATGTGTGAGAGGCAGGAGGTTCCTGAGTGTGAGCACTGAGCCCACTCTGTGAAATGAAGTGTTTGCTGTTTGGGTGGAGCAGATTTAGAATAACGCCAGGAATCAGCTGTGTGCTGCTGTTAGTGTGACAGCTCAGAGGAGGCTCAGCATCGTCCCAATGAGGGAGCTGGGGTTCCTGTGATGGACTGTGCAGACTTCATCTCAGCTCGTATGGTTCGTGCACGGAGTGGCCAGCTGTTGCGCCTCAGTGGCTGATGAGTGTTCGCCTGTCCGGCATGAGCGTCAAGGGTGCAGCGCGGATAACAAACGGGGAGTGACGATGCCTTAAACACAGATGGGGGTTAACTAATGAAGACTGAAAGTCATCAGTGTTTATCAGGGCTGGAATTGTGTTAGCAGGCTGCTCTGCAGGAAGCGATGGGTCGTAAGAGCTCAGGATACAGATACAGTCACAGATGCATCCTATGATATGGATGCAAAAACATCAGCTTCTCTTCATGACGATCGCCTCTCAGTTACAGCAGTGAGCTGATAATGTCTGCAGTAACGCATTTCCTTCTGAACACGGGACTTTGACTGATTGTTGACTGCTGTGAGCTTTTAGTTTAAGCCTTGTGATTTAAGTAGAGAGTACGAGAGAGCAGTTACATATAAACACAGCGCGTCCCTACCACAGGAAAAAGTCCACCAATGATGTCAGCACGAACTGTCACATGGTTTTCATGTGTGACACTAACTGTGACAACAGAAAGTGAAGTGTTTTTACCACCACGGCCCGTCCACCAGCTCCACTCGCGTCTGACTTTCTGCCTGCTTGTATACAAGCTCCTGTGACGCTTCGTGTAAAGGTGGTAGATAAGAAACGCTTAATGCCAGGAAAAGATTCCTCGGACACTCAGTCATCTCCTAACTGATCAGATCAACAGGCTTTCACACATTGCTGGTTATGACTGAAGCTGTCGGCCGTGCTCAAACATAGAATGAAGAAGCACTTCTGATTCCTGCTGAGCACTGCAGGTCAACATTGTTAGACTGCTGATTTGTTGTGAAGCTTATTTGATGCACTCCACAGCACCACGTCCACAGCATAGAGCAGGTGAGGGCACGGCAGCTATCGTATCTGACACAGAGAAGGTTGTGAAGTTGGGTAAAAGCAATTGACTGTGAGCTTTCACCTTGTGAGGGCAGAGCCATTACAGAGCAGATAGATGGCAGGCACGTCTCCCTGCTCTTTAACCAGTTTAGCACACGGTGGCCTGTTAATGCATTTGTAAATGCTGCTTTGCACTGAAGAATGATGGCTTCATTACTTCTGATCAGTTGCAATGACCTTTTGATGGCGAACTTTATAAAGTTCTAGGATTCACGAGTAGGCAATTTGGCGCTTTAATGGAGATGATGGGGGTTAAGATTTAAGATTAGCTGGAGCACAGCCTGGAGTCCTGGCACAGCGAGTCAGAGTGAAAGCTGCTAAGAAGCAGCTGCCATCTGTCCTCGCGCTCGTCCACGGTACGCTTGTGTTTTCGGCACACGGAGGTTATTTACTGTACGCACTGATGTTTCCGCTCTTGTCCTCTACAGGTCGTGAGTGTGTGTGTGTGTGTGTGTGTGTACCTGTGCACATGTGTTTGAGTGTTTAAGAGAGGCACAAAGAAGAATCCAGTGATGGCTGCCAATAAGGGTAAAAACCAGAGCTCTCTGGTGCTGCACAAGCTGATAATGGTGGGCAGCGGCGGCGTGGGAAAGTCAGCCCTCACCCTGCAGTTCATGTACGATGAGGTGAGTTAACACTTCTAAGGCACTGCTGTAGTAAGGTCACGACAGCAGATGAGGGGGTTTGGCTGTAGGCGTGACCACTCTTCATTTATTTTACTATCTGGATTTTATTTGCAACCTTTATGATGTTTTCAGTGCTTTGCCATAAATGTGAAATGAGTCCCTTGCTCCCTGTAGCCTGAGACTAACAGCCACTGCTGCCTAACAGAGGCGCTGCTGTCACTGGTCCCCACCTGTGTCGGGGAGCGCTCCGGCTCCCAGCAGCATGTCTGCAGGCGTTTTTGTCCATGCGTCTGATTTCCATGTTAGCCTGCTGAGTCACTGCTGATCAGGCGCCACTGCTCTGCCTCTTCACGTGTAGTTTGTGGAGGACTACGAGCCCACCAAAGCAGACAGCTACAGGAAAAAGGTGGTTCTGGACGGGGAGGAGGCTCAGATCGACATCCTGGACACCGCCGGGCAGGAGGACTATGCTGCTATCAGGGACAACTACTTTCGCAGCGGGGAGGGCTTCCTGTTGGTCTTCTCCATCACAGAGCCCGAGTCCTTCGCTGCCACTGCTGAGTTCAGGTACGGATGCGTGCGTTCAGTTTGGTGCCATTAATGAAAGCCGGCGAGTGGTTAAAAATGACATCGCTGATCATCAGCCATCGTCGCTCGTTACACATCTGCTGTAGAGTATCCAGAGTCGGCACATCAGCAACAATCTGCACCCACGAGTGTCTTTCAGTGTCTGGATAATACATGAATATCCAGATCGTGTAGAGTCACACCCACGTCACAGTGTCAGTGGGGACGTGTTGTGGCAGGAAGGTGCAGATAGGATTAAAGCACAGCAACAAAACACTGAAGCTTAATGCAAACGTTAGTCAGCAGCACTTTGAATCAAACACGTCAGCCTCTGAGGCTCGCTGAGAGGGGAGAGGATGGGATCCTCCAAACGGCTACAATGCAAGTTAGATTAGTGTTTCTCAGCAGTGTACATGACGGCAGCACGTCCGTCGACAGTGTGGAAACATTAAAGCGCCGGCCCCGATCCTGCTAATCAACCTGTAAAAGTCTTTGTTTCTGTGACGCTGCCAGCTGGTTATCATGTTGGATTTGGGGAAACGTCCTGAGAAAGACCAAATAATCATTTGTGCTCACAGGGAGCAGATCTTGCGGGTGAAGGCAGAAGAGGACAAGATCCCGCTCCTGCTGGTGGGGAACAAGTCGGACCTGGAGGAGCGTCGGCAGGTGCCCGTGGACGAGGCCCGCGGGAAGGCCGAGGCGTGGGGCGTCCAGTACGTGGAGACGTCAGCAAAAACCAGAGCCAACGTTGACAAGGTATCATCACTCAGACGCACCAGCACAGAGCTGTGCTCAAGTTTTAGGCACTGAAGGTGACGTAAACGTGATTCAAAAGAAATTAGAGTGCGCCTCCCAGTGGGGCCGTTTCCAGCATGACCCACTGGGATGAGGCCCAGACCCAGGAAGGAGGTGGGCGGGCACAGGGAGGTTTAATGCCCACGACCCTCCATACAGCAAACAAAGGAATTCTGAGAGCTGGTTTAATCTCTGTGGACCTGCCACACTTCTTTTTTGAATTATTTTTGGGGAATTTTAGCCTTTGAGATCGAGCAGGGGAGGGCGTGCTGATGCACACGGGTGACCCGCTCAGCCCGATGAGTTGTACCAACGCCCGCTGGTCTTACTGGGAGCCGTCACATAGAGTACTGAGGAATCGGAACGTGCCTGAAGCTTCTGCACAGCTGAGCTTTTGACTCTTTCACACACGAGTCCTGTATGTGTTATAAATATGCGATTGATTTCTTTCCAGGTGTTCTTTGACCTGATGCGTGAAGTGCGAGGCAAGAAAATGTCTGAAAACAAAGACAAGAACGGGAAAGGGAAGAACAAGAAGAACAAGAAGAGCTTCAGGGAGAGATGCTGTTTACTTTGAGCTCCTCGTGGACCTGAAATCACAAAGCTCCACAGAACAGAGGAGCAGAGCTCAGCGTCTTTGATCTCAATGAATCTGATTATTTTTTATTGATAGCTTGTTATAGTTTCATGTCTAGAACAATCGCAACCACTATGTTGCCAATCTGAATGAATGAAAGCTGACTGGCTCTGCTGTGAGGATGGACGGCGACTGCAGCGCTTGATGGCTCACAGGAAGCCAGCGACCAAACTGCCATTGACACTAACTGTGCTGCTCGACGTGTTCAGCGGTTTACTGCCTTCGCTTTGGTTCCTCTCTCTCTACAAAGCCGTTAGTTTGTTCGCCTCCTCTAATCTGGGCCTGCAGTCAGTGTAGACTGCATGTACACTGATGGCCTCTGTGTGGAGCAGGTTTCCATCGCCCACTTTGTGTTTGCAGTTTAATGTCCGGTCCCCCCCCCCGCCTTCAGGTTTCTTGAATATTTTTCTTCAGTTTCATGCGAGGAATTGTGAGGTTTTTTTCATCCCAGGAGGTTCACGCAGTGCAGTCGTGTCCTGACACGATCACCATAAATCAATGTTAAAACCATTTTCAGTGAAGCTGTAAATTACATCCTCGCTGACTCAGAATCCACTCATTTCTCTTCACGTACACGCGATGAGATATTTTAACGTTTGTTCTGTATTTTAAGAATGTGGGAAATGAATAGTGAGAGAGCTGCCACGTCGGTGTGACCCTCCTCAGAGCGCAGACGCCACCGTTTGTCCAGGAGCGAGGTTGGATCGGTGCTGGGAGGCACGACAATCCAGGAGGCCACCCTGCTAATGCATTCAGTCTGTTAGTCTCCATAGTCCTGATCTTCTTTTGAATAACATGCACTACATTGTCAGTACCTTAGAAGTGGCTTCATGCTGTGTTGAGTCACGCTGTGCCAACAAAATAACAAAAATTCAAACTATGTTTGTGGGTGTGTGGTATGTATGTTGTGTAAGAGTGTGTGTGTGCATTTGTGGGAGAACCTTCTTACCTTGCTGTGTGTCTGAGTGAAGCTGTTGTGTATTCAGATGTTCATGGTGACCCTGCTGTGTGTTTGTTGGCGGCTGAGAGCTGCTGAATAAATGCTTTTCTTCCTTTTTTCATGTCTTTGTAAGGAGCTCGATTCAATGTCCGACTTCCTGCAGGCAGATGTAAAAACGTTGGTGGTGTGGCAGGTAAGGGGAGCCGGTGTGCTGCACAGCGCCCTCTGGTGGAGGCAGCGGAGCCACTTACTTTATGGCCACAGTTACAGCGACATTATCCACTGAAACGTGGCTGCCAGTCCGTGGTCCCCGTGGGGCATACGGCCTAGTTTGGTCAAATAACCCAGCACTCACTCACTTTGCATCGATTGTTCCTCTGCCATCAGAAGAGTGCCAACGGCCTGTTTTTCTCCAATCTGACAGTGATGTAGTAGCACCATTTATATTAACCTCACAGCCTTATCTTACATGGCAGGAATTGTGTGACGCCACCCTGGAGATGAACCGGTCGTGGGCTCTCGTAGCTGAAGCCCCGGGGGCGGCCGGGTCACTGAAACTCATTTCACAGTGTGAAAACACGGTTGACTACATCACCAGGCAAAGACTGACCATACATCACTTTGAAAATGGTTTTCGTGTGGAGGGTGGGAGGAAGCTCCTTCCCTGGTGTTACAGGAGGGGCTGCTGTAGTTCCAGGTACACACCGCCCTCCTCCACACAGCTGGGGTTATTCCTGTGTTGCTGTTAAATCTGACTTGAAACGTCCCCGAGTATTCAAGCTGGGTTATTTATATAATGTTCCGGGATTATGGATTTGCTCTTTTTCAGCGGAGCCACGCTTCACTGTCCGCTCCGAAACATCCCTCACGGCTGTGCAGCAGCTCCGGGTCGGCGTCTGTACCGCGCCACAGATAAGACTCCTCAGCTCGCTCTTGATCATACAGGCCCGCGCAACTAAAGGGAAAGCTAACATGAGAAATAGTGTGGGGAGTTTCAGCCTGTAATGATAATGGCTCCACATTTCCTCCATACTTAACACAAACACACTAATCCTCCGTAATTTCCATCTCTGGTGAAACCTACTAGGTTTAAAAGCCTGTGGCAGCGTTTCCACCAGAGAAGCCAAACATGTCACAGCTCTGATAAGCACATTTACCTGCCTGACACTCACCTCTCTGGATCCCCACTCTTCGCCTGCGCCTCTAAGTAGGCAGATTAGGTGGTCTGTTAAACCCACAGGAAGGCACTTATTTAGAAATACATGAAAGGGCAAAGTGAGCCCGGCTAATGACCGATGCTGTGTCACCGGCACACTCTGGGGTCTTTTATCATTCTGCAGAGAGGCCCCCGTCCTCTGAGTAACCCTCATTATATCTGAGCTAATGTTGGGGATGAGGATGTGCGAGTGATAAAGCACCATCACAGTCCTTCATTATACAGAAAGAGAAACAGACTCGGTGGAATTGTGCTCGCCCTGTAAGATAAATGCAGCGGACAGAGAATAACTCCTATTTTAGCGACTGTGCCACATCCTGCTGTCTGCGTGCAGTCTCTGCGGGAAACGCCTGTCCACGCTCTGCCCACAGGATGGCAGTGTTGCTGTTCTGCAGGCCTGCTCTGAGCACCAGTGATGCCACTGTGCTCCCTACTAGGATTCATCCACTGGTGATTGTTGATTGACTGAATGAATGTTTGTCAGTCCTTATTAAACATTTAGTTCATGGAAAATTAATGGCTGTGCGCATTCATATTAATTATAGTATCGCATAATTAGTGATGGCAGATATCTTTTTATTTAATTTTTATGAATCAAAACAGCTTTCATTGGACAAGGTGGACGTTACCTCTCGTGGTCCGCTAATGAATGAATGAGCTTGTTTTCCCTGGTGTAAGTGTGATAAACCCGCCCACAGACACCGTATCTGCAACACAAAATCAATCACCAAATATAATTTGACCATAGAGCTCCGTGCTGTCACTGTCGCAGCAGCTCTGCTGTGAACAGCTCACTTTGCCCTGCATTGTGTTGCTGAGGTGGAGCATCATCACCAGCTCCACGCTGTTGGAGCAATGATGGCGGTAACAATCATTCTTCCTTTGGATCGGTAAAGTCGAACCTTGGGCGAGTCCTCGGTGTCTGTTGGTCAGGCGTCACATGATCTCACTGTTGGTCGAAGCTCTTTGAGTTGGATGTGTGAGGGCGCAGCAAAGATGCAGGCATGTCCAGACTGACTCAACCCTGGACTGTGTATAATGATGTCATCCATTAGTTTATGACTGCACAGTTTGAAGCTGAAAGCATTTCTTTGCTGCTATTTTTTTTAGTATTAGGGTGGAGTGCTCAGTTATTGGCTAATGCTAACAAGCTAGCTCCATCCATGTACTGTATGTATCACACAGACTCAGACACCATCTAATTACTAACATTACTAATGTGCACATGCCAGCACTCTGTCAGTAGACAAATACCCGGAGCTTCTGTTGGTGAAAGTAAGTGCAAAGCAAACAACTTGGTCCAACACTGCTACAGTCCTTAATAAACAGGTGAAGCACAGCTAGCTTTAGCTGCCTGTATCAGTGTCCACTGACCCATGTGCAGCTGTTATGGAGGCTAATTTAGCTAAAGAGACCAAAACGTTTGTTTAGCAGTTAAGGAAGGTTAGGCATTTTGAGCCTGAAACCCTGAAGGAGATGTGAGGATGGTTGGATGGATGAGCAAGCTAACATCAGAGACTATAGGCAACGACAAGCCATCCTCAAACAGCCACTCAGTATTTCTTGGCAAGTAACCACTGAAGGACCAAAAATCACCATCCAAGATCAGAAGTGAGAGATTCTTTTGGATAGTTCACATTATTTGTTATCATTTAAACTGCACTACATGGTTGCTTCAGGTTTGTCAGCCGACCGTCCTTGATGTGACTCTCCTGCTCCACCACATTCCAAAGGGGCTCTGTTGGATCAGGTGACTGTGAAGGCCATTTGAGAACACTCAGGTTCAAGAGACCAGGATGTGGCATGTAGTTGGAAGCAGCCCTCAGAAGATGGTGCACTGTGGTCGTAAAGGGACGGACACGGTCACAATGTTCACCCAGAGAACTGCTGCTCGTGGGTCGATCAACTTCTGAAATAGCCCGAGCAGCCCACCTGGTACCAACAACGATCCCACGTTCATGTTTCTTCCTCATTCTGATGTTTGAACTTCAGCAGGTCGTGTTGATCATGTCCACATGCCTAAATGCACTGAGATGTTGCCATGTGATTGGCCGATTCGATGTTTGTGTTAACGAATGGTTGAGCATGTGTACCTGGGGGAAGCATTAAGAGTATTTTATATGATGCTATCCAGAGTGGTCTGACTGATTCTGAATATGAGACGAGCAGAATGACACGAACGATGCGCTGAAGTGCTGATTTCTTCAGTTGGCTGAGAATTTTAAGAAAAAAAGCAGCTTGATTGAGTTATTGTGCATATGGAAAATTATCTGAGCCAGAAGGCACAGCCACAGTTTTTATGGATATGCTGACCTTATTTCAGCATCTCACCAGAGACGAGACTGGCAGTTTACACACATTAGCACAGTCCTGTAATCACTAACAGATGAGACACAAACTCATTATCAGGATCTGATGCAACTGTTCACTGTAGCTTAAACTGATGAAAGCAGCTCTGCAGCAGCTCTGCAGTGACATTACAGCGAGCACATCGGACCTTCACTTCGATGAGCGTCAATGTCATGACATCAGAAATGCCACGCTGTCAAAGAGGCACCGATTTAACTTGTAGGACACGTTTTTTAAATAATCAGGAAGGTTGTTAAAGGTGCCGTTGCACATGGAGATGTATTGTTCTTCCACAATTATTGATGCTAGAGGCGATATGTGTTGTGTTGTGGTTAAAACCCCAGCAGGAAGCTCGTTCAGCAGGTATCCAGAAACAGAGATGGAAACACTGCAGGCCGACTGATAAATAAATGCCTAAAATACCAGCGGACCAGTTTTTGTGCCACATTTGAAGGACTTGGCAAATTAATGCTGCATCTGGTACATCAGAAAAACCCCTTTCTGTCATTGTGAAAGCAGGATATCAGC